AAAAAAAAAAATCCAAAAAACAATTAACCTTAGCCAAAAAAAAACAAACAAAACAATATTTTCTTTCTGTGATCACTTTTCCCACCATCAAGGAAAACAAGAAATAAGCTTTTTGTTTTTAATCTTGAAGTAGGACAAATTTTTGTTTCTTAGTTACAGCTAAAACTCACATTTTCTTAACTCTAAAACAGAGAGCAGTCCATCCAACACTCATTTACTTTTGTTAGAGTTCATTTCTTTCATCTTATTTGGAAAAACTTACAAAGATTTCATGAGATATATGAAGGTACACACACAAACAGTAACATGCACACACACCCACACAACCTCGACAGAGTCACAGAGGTAAAAATTAGACAAAAGGCACCAGCTGAGATAGAATATATTGATGGACAAATAAATTTGAGGGATAACACATTGGTTAAAAATTCCCTTGGAATTAATGCAACAGAACATAGAAAAAGAGGAAGTGAACAAAACCAATAGTTAATTCTTTGAAAACACCAACAAAATCAAAAAACTTTTACCAAACTGACCAAAATAAATAAATAAATAAAAACTCAAATTTACAAAAATCAGGAATGAAAGAGACAACATCGCTGACTTTATAGACATAAAAAAAGATTGTAAGGAAATACTATAAATGACTATTTACCAAGAAAACAGATATATAGGATAAAATAAACAATTTCATACAAAGATAAAATTACCACACTGGTATCTTCTACAAAATACTTACATAAGAATTAAACACCAAACCTTCACAAACTCTTCCATAAACTCAAAGAGGAAGAAATACATCCTAACTCCATTCAAGACATGTATTAAACATTAAAGCCAGATAAAAACACCACAAGAAAAATACAGATCAATATCCTTCATGCCTATAGGTGAAAAAATACTTAGTAAAATACTAGACAACTAATTCACAAAACACATAAAAACTAAAATTATATCCCATGACCCATGATTATCCCAGAAATGCCAGACTGATTTAACATCCAGAAATCAATCAGAATACATCATATTCACAGAGTGAAAAAAAAAAAAATAGAAAAGTAGATCATCATTTCAACAGAAACAAAAATAGCATGACAAAATCACATAACCTGTCGGGATAAAAAAACATTCAACAAGGGCCAGGCCTGGTGGCTCATGCCTGTAATTCCTAGCATTCCAGGAGGACTGCCTGAGTTTAAAGGTTTGAGACTAGCCTGAGCCAGAGTGAGACCTCATCTCTAAAGATAGCTGGCCATTGTGGCAGGCATCTGTAGTCCCAGCTACTTAGGAGGCTGAGACAAGAGAATTGCTTATGCCCACGAGTTTGAGGTTGCTGTGAGCTGTGATGCCACAGCACTCTACCAAGGGTGACAAAGTGAGACTCTATCTCCAAAAAAAAAAAATAATAATCAAAATAAAAGGGAACCTCATCAACCTAGTAAAAGCCAGCTCTGAAAAACATAATTAACAGTTAAAGATTCACTATTGTTCCTTTTAAGATCAAGAAAAAGAAAAAGATGAATTCTCTCATAGCTTTTATTCAAGTTGTAATGGAAGTTCAAGCAGGACAATTAGGTAAGAAGGAGAAATAAAAGGCATCTAGATGGAAAGGAGGGGAGTAAAATTACCTCTTCCTTCAGATCGCATGATGTAAGACAGAAAAAAATTATAAGGAATCTATTAAAAAACTATTCAAACTAATAAAAAGTATATACAATCAAAATATATAAATCAATTCTATTAGTGAACAATCTGAACATCAAATTAATATAATTTATAATATAAGCTAAGAATAAAAAGCATACTATAAAACACTGTGAAAAAATATATAAGTAACTCTAAAAGTATTTCATAATGTAGATCTGAAAATTACTAAAATCCACTTGGATTATTGAGGAGATTTACATGCTGATCTAATATTCATATGGAAATGCTAGGGATATAAAATAGCCAAAATGATTTTGAAAAGGAATAACATAACCCAACTCATCTTTTCTAATTTTGAAACTTATTATAAAACTATAGTAGTTAATACAGTATGTTAATGAAATGATGACAGACATGTAATTCAATGGAGAATCAGAAATAAATTCTCACATATATGGTTAACTGATTATTAAAAAAGGATGCCAAAACAATACCATGGGAAAGAATAGTCTTTTTTAACAAATGGTGCTGGCAACAACTGAATAGGAAATGAATGGAATGAGGCTACATATCTTTCTTGCATCATACATAGTGATTAACTTATAAGGGATCAATGATTTAAATGCCAATTCAAATTCATTAGGGTGGATAAGTTTTTTTTTTTTGAGACAGAGTCTTATTCTGTTGTCCGAACCTAGAGCACCACACCATCAGCCTAGCAACCTCAAACTCCTAAGTTCAATCAAGCCATCCTCCTACCTCAGCCTCTCAAGTAGCTGGGACTATAGTCGCCCGTCACAGGGTGGCAAAGCAAAACCCTTTCAGGAAGGAAGAAAGTAAGGAAGAGAGGGGTAGGGAAGGAAGAAAAACAAATAAATAAAACATCAAATACTGAGACATTAAGATAAACACATACAATAACAATACTTTCAAAGCCTTTAACTTATGTCAGAGCCAGGAGAATTATATAAATCCAAATACAGTTGTCTCTAACTAGTCTCAGTGTCCTCAGTGGTTTGGTTCCAGGACTCTCTGCATATGCTCAAGTTCCTTATATAAAATAGTGTAGTACTGTATTTGTAAATAATCTATATACATCTTCCTATATAGTTAAAATTAGCCCTACATTACTTATAATACCTAATAAAATGTAAAGGCTACAGAAATAGTTGTACTCCATGGGTCTTTTAAATTTACATTACTTATTACTGTTGTATTGTTATTTTTTTGAATATTTTCCATCTGGGTTACAGAAGTTGTACAAAGAACCAACTGTATTTTAATTCTTCCCACCCATGGCCTTAAGGGGAAAAAAAAAGATAGGTCAAAATAGATACTATATTAATATAGGGACTTCCCCAACTCAATAACTGAAAAGCTAGTTTTTATTAGAATAAAAATTTACTGTATTATAAAAGGAGGCAATAATCAAAGCTATAAAAATCAGACATTTTGAAATGATCTTTTCAAAAGTGAGCATGAGGTACTGTATCAGATATAGTCACAAAAATGGACTTTCATGTCCTAAGATATATCTAGTAGATTACCTTAGTTTTTTGTTAAAGGCACTTCACTTAAATTAACTCTGGATCTACATATTTTTCTGCTTTAACCCAAATGTCTTCTTATGAAAGTTTTTGACCTAAATTTTTTTTTTTTTTTTGAGACAGAGCCTCAAGCTGTCCCCCTGGGTAGAGTGCCATGGCTTCACTGCTCACAGCAACCTCCAACTCCTGCGCTCAAGCGAGTCTCCTGCCTCTGCCTCCCAAGTAGCTGGGACCACAGGCACCCACCACAATGCCTGGCTATTTTTTGGTTGCAGCCATCATTGTTGCCTGGCAGGCCCAGGCTGGATTCGAACCCGCCACCTTGGGTGTATGTCGCTGGCGCCTTAGCCACTTGAGCCACAGGCACCGAGCCTTGACCTAAATTATAAACTAATTAAAATGACTTTAATCAAGTCTAGTGATGATGTTTAATCACCAATAACATATTTCTATACTCTATCTGTAGTAGGAGAGATTTTTTTTACATTTATTGAATTAATAAACAATCAAAAAACAAACTAAATGTCTACTTACACATATATGGTTAAACAAATTATGGTGTTTTTTTCTGTGAAAACCTCTAGAACAGTGGTTCTCAACCTCCCTAATGCCTCAATGTATTTTCATTGTTAAAAAGTGATCATTACCCACAGGTTGAGAACCGCTGCTCTAGAACAAAAACCAAAATAAGTTTACAAATATTGACATGAAAATATCTCCAAGTCATACTGAGTAAATACAGCAAGAAAGAAAAGAGTAAACTAAGAAAATATTTTAGTAAGAGCAAACTGAGCAGTATTGATAATATAAGCATATATGAATGTAAAGATGACGAAATATCCTAGTACATAGAACTGCTAATAGTAATCCCATCTGGGGAGAATTGTTTAAATTTTATTTCAATAATGTATTTTGCCAATATTTGTGAGGAAAAAAGATCTAACATGAAATTTAGAGGGAAACAAAAGACTTTGACATAAAATTCTCAATTTGCTGTAAATGGTTAAGCTGCTGTATGCACAGAGTCAAAAAAACAGTTTTTAAAATATTTTAAATCACATCAATTTTATTATATATCATGGATATACAATATCTGATACAAATTACTAATACTTGCCATGATTTCTGTTATTAATTAAATGTACTTAAATCTATTTAAGAACAGCAAAGAGTTGTTACAGTATTTTTTGAGATTTATATTTAATTTATTCCTATAAGATAGCAATTAATTCTATAGTATTTCATATTCAAGCTTCTTCCTATGCTATTATATTGTTATATATTCTAAAAGTTTCCCAAATGCTGACAATGTCAACCATTACTTTGTAATCACCAAGTACACTTTCAGTGAACATTTATTGGCCAATGGACAGGAACTCTAAACCAAAATAAGACTGCAGTACAAATCTATATAATTTGTATAAGTTTATACACATCCATGTGTGCAAAATTTTTTACTAAAGTTATCCAGGGTTTAAAATAATAAACAACATAAGACTCTCAAACCTCTACCTTATATTCATCCACAATAATGCTGAGGGCTTCATGACCAGCTTTCCTCATGTCTTCCAATTCTTGTTTATGTTTTTCCTGAAAGAAAATGGAGACTAAAGCCATTACTTATTCTTCAGTTTTCTTTTCAAAAACAATAAAATCATTCACTTTTGCTTCTATGAATGATCGAGTGGTTTGTGACAAACCAATCCCAAAGCTGAAAACAAACAAACAAAAATAGTATTTTTTTTAAGTTCTTATTAAAACATTGGGAAACGCTGAGGCAATGAGGAATTAAAGGGAGACAATAACTGAAACAGGAGAACCATACTAAGAGGTAAAATGACATAGGCAGTCAATGGCATTTTCCACTGGAGCATCTGCGTAGCAATTTGTGGCCAGGGTAAAGAGATGGCCTGGGCCTCTATAGTTTTTAGTACCTTGCCAGGTGTTTCTAATATATTCAAAAGTTTGAGAACCACTGGATTAAGATGAATAGCCTATAACTCTCTAAACAAACACATGAAAATATGACTCACTGCTAGTCATCAGAGAAATGCAAATCAAAACTATCCTAAGATACCACCTAACCCCAGTAAGAATAGCCCACATAATAAATTCACAAAGACTCAGATGCTGGCGTGGATGCAGAGAGAAAGAAACACTCTTTCACTGCTGGTGGGATTGCAAGTTAATACATCCATAGGAAAATAATTATGGAGAATCCTCAAAGAAGTAAAAGTAAACCCTTCATTTGATCCCACAGTCCCATAAATTAGTAGATACTGGTCCAGAAGAAAATAATGATTTTACCACAAAGACATTTCCAGTAGAATGTTCACCACAGCTCAATTCACAATCACTAAGAGGAAGAAACAACCCAAGGGCCCATCAACACATGAATAAATTCATGAACTGAATCAAATCTTATATTTACTTGGATGGAGTTGAAGAACATCCTTCTTAGTAAAGTATCACAAAATGGAAAAGCAAGTATCCAATGTACTCAAATACTAATAAGAGTGCAATAGATAACAACTACACATTCACATGAAAAAAAAACCACAATTAAATTCAAATGGAGGGAGAGAAGGGGGGGGAAGAAAAAGGAAAGGAGGGGAAGGAGACTGGTAATGTGCACAATGGAAACGGTAATAGCACAATCCCCAGGGGGTGAAGAGCTCAACTACAACTTGAACGTTACCTAATAAATGCAAACAATGTAACCTAATCATTTGTACCCTCATATTAAACTGAAATTTTTTTTTAAAAAGACCAAAGAAAAAATAACTTCAGCACAACAAAGAAACCATTAATAAAATGAAAATCAACCTAAAGAACAGGAGAAAATATTTTCAGAGTATGCATCTGATAAGAAGTTAATATGCAAAATACATAAAGAACTCATCCAACTCAATAGCAAAAGAACAAATAATAATCTGATTAAAAAATAGGCAAAAGGATGAATAGGCATTTCTCCAGAGAATATACACAAAAGGACAACAGGTGTATGTAAAGATGCTCAATATCATTAATCATTAGGGAAATGCAAATCAAAACCACACTGAGATATCACCTCACACCTGTTAGGGAGACTATTTTCAAAGGATAGGAGATATGCAGAGTTAGGGACAACCCAGGTACACTATAGATCAAATATATATTGGTACACCCTTTATGGAAAACTATGAGAAGATTTCTCCATAAATTAAAAATAGAACTACTATATCATCCAATAATCTTACTTTGGGGTACACAACTAAAGGAAACAAAACCAGGGTTTCAAAGAGATATCTGCACTCTCATGTTCACTGCAGCATAATTCACCACAGCCAAGTTATAAAAGCAACCTAAGTATCCAATGAATGAATGGATTAAAAATTATTGTGTGTACATGTATATATATTTAACATGTGGGTATATATATTTATATATATAAATAAAACATCTATTTATTCCAATAAAACATCTATGTGAATGTAAAGTAGCCTCCCTTTTCAAGCTTAGGTTCTAAATAACTTTTTTTTACATTTTTCTTTTGATGTTCAATATTTCAATCTCTCTTTGATAAACAAGGAAACACTCTTCATTTCTCAAAAGATTTGGTCTTCAAATTCTGTCCATTCTATTTCTTCTTTCTTCAGTTCTTATTCATTGACTTGACATTCTCTAAGAGGCACCATTCAAGATACATGCATTCAATATCAAACAAAACTTTACCTTCCGAAATTGAAGTTTCTGTCAATTTTGAAATCTTTCTGGTATCTTTTTGTCCTCACTTTCCTAAGTACCAGAGTATTAGAGTGTACTATCATTATCTCTCCTAATAGGGTAGGAGGACATTGTCAGTGACTAATAAATGGAAAACATGTGGTAGTGATAGCTGCTGTGATGTAAAAACAAAAGAAAGAAAGAGAAAAAGTGAACTCATGGAAACAACAGAGTAAGATGGTGGTTGGTAGGGGTTGAAACGTACAGGAAAGGGAGAGAGGTTTGCCAAAGGGTATAAACGATAGGTTATAAGATAATTAAGTTCTGAAGAAATAATGTTCAGCATGGTGACTACAGTTAATAATAATACTATATCATATACTTAAAATCTGCTGGCTCGGCACCTATAGCTCAACCGGCTAAGGCGCCAGCCACATACACCTAAGGTGGCGGGTTCGAATACCCAGCCC